GTGACGTTCCATCATCACTGAGCGGACCCTGAATTGTCACTTATCTCGATAGACGGGTGTTCTCTCAAGGAGGCCCCGTGGATTAAGTGTCTCTTGTGAGTTAAACTCAAGCCAGACTTCAAGTGGAACTCGTACATACGATGCACAAGATGCAAGATAAATCGTCGGTTACTTTTACAGCTCCAGTTCCTGACTTCTTACCGCTACCTCTCTATATTTACGAGAGACAGTTCAGATCTTATATGGACAGGAGCTGCACAGTCTTCACTTTCCAGTCCTGCTAGAACCCCAAAACGTTGCCGCGTCCTTATGGGTGATGAATTATTTTCCACCCTACAGACGAATCGTCGTAAGCCACTTGCGGCATTATCGTTATTTTCATGGAAAATATTCAGACTTACTACATTCCTCAGTTCCATCTGTTCTAACATTCATAACTAAGACTGCTGTGCCACACCCACTGTAGCTAACACCCTCATTCCCTTCATATTCCACTCGAGCGGCTCCTTCCAACAAAGCTTTGTGGAAAAGACTCCCGAGAGGATGCTTCCCTGATCAGTAGGGTCAACTATTATCTTCCCCACAGATCCTAATAAACTGTGCCTCTTACTCAGTAACCCTCTACCTCAAGTGGCGCTTTGTAAGGGGTTAGCATAAACAAAACATTTTCCCCCTCTTTCATTTCTTTTTCGGCTACCCTTACGTCTCGTGGGATCGCTATATTATTATTCTTATTATCCAGATGTATTTTATTTTTTCTTGTTAATACATTGAAATATTTTCATTCGATCAGCGTGGATCAATGCCAAATAATTTCTTGTGCAAGTTAAATTAGGTAGGATCGCTCATTAGGCAGAGAGCACCGAAAGTAGTTGTCTATGTCAGTTCAGCGCGTACACCCCAAAGAGATTAAATAGAATAAGCGTAATCAAGCTATGGATCGATAAGATAATAACAGCAAAGACCTTTTCCAGCCTTCCCTGTCTGCCTGCTTGCCTGTCTGCCTGCTTGCTTTTCAACCTCTCTACTAACTTTAGTCAAGCAAGGGTTCAGACAAAGGTGCTTCTGATCTCTGCTTGTTACGGATGAAAAAGACTTAACATCGGTAAATCAATTTTCTCAACCCACTCCTAATCTAGGTAATCTCTCACACTTTTTATCCATCTTCTTCTCTTCTTCTCTCTCTCTCACACACACACACATATATATATATGTGTGTGTGTGTGTGTGTCTATATATATATATATACACACACACATATATATATATGTGTGTGCGTATATATATATATATATATATATATATATATATGCGTGTTTGCATGTATGTACATTCATGTTCGTGTGTTTTGACACAAGGCCTAAAAGCTAAAAAAATAAATATATATATATATATATATATATATATATATATACTGTTTGACCAACACAAAGACTGACCAAAATTCATGTTAAAAAATATTAAAAAAATAAAAAAACAAATGAAACTACAGACAAAAGTTTATTTTCTCCATCAAGACATTCATTTCTGTAGTTCACTGCCACCAGCGAGCAGAATTTTTTTTCTCCTGATGATGGCCATGTTGACCGAAACTAGTCGAGGAATTTAAAGGAAATAATAATAAAAACGGAGGAATATTAATATACAACCCAGTGTGTCTGAGGATTTTAATTTTTTAATATTTTTTATTCTTCAATATATACATACATATATATATATATATATATGTGTGTGTGTGTGTGTGTGTGTGTGTGTGTGTGTGTGTGTGTGTGTGTGTGCATATATTACACAAAAATATGTTGAAATATAAAGAGTAAATTTATTCAATAAAATCGTAATTGGCTTCAGCCACGGTCTCCAAACGACTTTGGAATCTCTTGCAACTCTTCTGGGCGGTCTCCTAGTTTAAGTTGGTAAATTCTGGCATAATCTTTGCCTTCAGATAATATTATATGGAGATTTGTAGGTTTCCCGCTCAACTGCGCCCAACACATAATAATGAAGGTTGTTGCAGTCTGAGGTGTTAGCTGGCCATATGTAAGCGGTGATGTGGTTGCAGAAATTGTCTTACATCCAAGACTGGATTCTTCTGCTTGTATGGTATGGTACATAGCCTTGTTGCCAGATATAGGGTCTTCCAGCAGCCACCCTCTTGACACAGCGCAGCATTACTTCCTCAAAGCACTTGATGTAAGGCACTCGTTTTGAGTCTAAGGCCCTCACCATCAAATTCTTTTATTTTTTTATCAGAACTACTAATCCAACTCTTTCTGAATCCCCTGAACTGTCATCAGACACTCTCCAGCCCCGAAATGTTCGTATTGGAGTTCCGGCGACAATTCCAAGCAGTACAGCATGCCGTTTCCAAATTTCTGCCGGATTGAATTGCGCTATCGTCCTCTTTTTTTCACAGATGGTGCCCAACTGACCCTACTATACTATAAGCGCGAAATTAATTCTGTAAAGTAGCGACAATTTGTCCATCGCTCTCTCTCTCTCTCTCTCTCTCTCTCTCTCTCTATATATATATATATATATATATATATATAAGAAAGATAGACAGACAGATAGATAGATAGATATAGGATAAATTTACTAATTTCAAAATATGGTTTCATCGCTACACAGGAATTACCATGTTTCAAAACAAGATTTTTTTTTTAAACATAGTAATTTCTGAGTAGCGATGGAACCATATTTTTAAGTTAATAAATTTATAATATTATGCTCCTTAGATTTGCATTGAGCACTGTTTTGTAAAAACAAAAATATTAATAAGAACACCGGATTATATATCTTACTGTTCTTTCTCTTTATTACATACTATAGATACTAAGAAACCGTTCACGTAATATATTTGGGAAGTGGATTGAGCAGAAAGGTTTTCAAAACCATGTCGTATATATATATATATATATATATATTAACCATTTTTACCCTTGTGCCTGAGCTCCTGAGTCAAAATTCGCAAACAAATGGTATGTAATGTTTCACGGTAGATAGTTACAAGTGTTTAGCCATCGTTCAACCTCTAGCTGGGCATTAAGTCATTTTTCTCTACCACTGTTCAACCGGTGGATGAGTATTACGTCATTTTTCTCTACCACCAGTAAAGCTGTGGTCAGATCTTAAAGAGTTAAACCTACAAATATGTCAGATCATTTTCTCGCAATCTGTATATAGTGGCAAAGACATACGCCAAAAGTTAAGTTTATTTAGTTTCTACTGAAATATTCTACACATCTACTTTGAAGTGTATTATCTGTTGTTATTCAGGACTAATGCAATTTGTCACATTCATATGTACCCTATATAAGGAGAGATACAGTTCAGATCACATCCTGATTATTGGAAAGAAGACATACACAATGATGAACCAATGGAGAAAACGTAGGATGAAATGCTCTTACCCAGAGAAGAAAAAGTAAAAATGCACAAAATAAATTCATCAATATATTTAGGAATTTAAAAGTCGTAATATCTATTTATTCTGGTTTCTATTGACACAAACCACAGTCACAACTAGACACGGAATGGAGAAATAAAAGTTAAAAATTGAATATTCAGCAATTTCTCTTGATAGTAAACCCAAAGCTTTTGCATCATCTTCAGCTTTCAGGTGTCGGGGAAGGTTAAAACAATTTTAGGGGCTTACCCTTAGGCAGTACATTAACCTTCGAGAGGGGGTTTATTTTCCAATGCCTGATGCGTCCCCAAAAGGGGAAGTGCCGAGAGGGGCTTGGACATTTTTTTCTACCGTACTTCCGGTAAACCAACTTGAATCTTCGACCTTATGTTACATTTGAGAGCGACAAGGGCGCGCTGAAAAATACAATGTTCAGCTTTCTGTTTCCAACTCTCTTCACATAGTTTTGATTATGTTAAGTTCAGAATATTGAGAACAAGCCAGCATAAAAGGTATTTTTGCATTTCTTTTCCCAGGTTTTCAGATAAAACTTTTAGCCGACTTGATATCATTTGTCGTCAAAATCAATGAATTCAGCTAGAAATAGAACAGCTTAAAATTGTTTTGTGTCAGGCCCACTGTCTTCCCAAATGAGCAATGGTGAGAGGAAAATGATCATTCTAGTCCTCAGTAATGGTAACAACATTCATACACTGGCTTCTATCTTCAAAGTCCATTCAAGAACCATCAAAAGAACGGTGTAAAAAAGAGGAAACAGTAGAGAGGAAAACTGGATCATGAGGTTACAACAAGAAGAGTGGTCACCGTTTCAACTTAGAGCTAAAGAGATCAGTTAGAAAAGAGCCAACTCAATTCATAAGACGTTTGATACGTGAAAGAGGAGTTTCATCTATGACAGTCCAAAGAGCAGTGAAGAAAGACTTGAAAATGAAATCGTATGTGAAACCTGTAAGGCAACTTGTTACTCTAGAAGCGCAAGTTAGAAGGTTAGAGAGGGCGAAGATCATCTTGAACAAGTTGTAAAATGATCATGGGTTAATATATATATATATATATATATATATATATATATATATATATATATATATTTGAACTATATTTCAATCTTCCATGTGCTTCCGATTCTTAGCTATGATTAATTAATGATGAAAATGTCATTTTCGTTTATGATCAATTTCATCACGATTCTTGTTCAGCTTGGAGAGTAATTATACATTCTTATTGCTCAATGTAGAGTCCAGTAGTGTTATAAAAACCTCGGATAATTCCAGTAAGATATTTTTAATTATTTCTAAAATACAATGGTTCAAAGCTTAATTTAACAAATGAACAATTTTGCTTTTACACGATTTGAACAATTTTGCTGTTACACCCGCTTCTTTAGTATGCACATAACCATTTAAGATTATAAAATAAGCCTCACGTATTTGTAGAGGATCTCTATATATCAAAACCTTTATTGATCCAGACCCCACAGCAGTACAAGTGTTGCGGATTATTGTGAATCCTAGATTTCAAAACTGATCTGCATTACAATAATTGACGGCCATTATAGGAAATCAATTTTTCACTCATGATTAAGGAATGTGTCGTCTCTCGCTTTGAACCAGGAATTCGTTCTCTTTCGTCTGCTGCCTCCTCTTTGCATCATCAGTGGACGCACGACGAAGAATACTTTGGTGTTCCTAATTACAAAGGGGATAACAAGAAATTCTATACTAAAATAAGAAAAAATGAGTGAATTGTGTGGCAAAGTTGATCGCAGTGGAATCAAAGTCAAACAATGTTTTTAACCCTTTTTTATTGGTCTGGTTGGCTTTCTTTAATGGCATATCAACACCTCTATGAGTTATTTAAATCCCAAAAAATTGTGTGGCAAAGTTGATCGCAGAGGAATCAAAGACAAACAATGTTATTAACCCTTTTTTATTGGTCTGGTTGGCTTTCTTTAGTGGCATATCAACACCTCTATGGGTTATTTAAATCCCCCCAAAAATTGTGTGGCAAAGTTGATCGCAGAGGAATCAAAGACAAACAATGTTTTTAACCCTTTTTTATTGGTCTGGTTGGCTTTCTTTAGTGGCATATCAACACCTCTATGGGTTATTTAATTCCAAAATCTAAATATTTTGTACGTAATTTTATGTTTTCAACTACGGATATTTTGTACATTTTATATTTTTAGAATAGAGGTCTTTTTTTTAGATATATAATTTGTAGATGGGAAAATGCATTGTTGATAATTTTACTATAAAAATGCATTTTAATATTTTTTTCAGTGTTGCAGTGATTGTCGTCTTGCTGCAAAAATGTCTTTTTGCTCACAAAACGTATAAACAGAAAATCTATTAAATGATTGTCGAACTTACTCTATTTCATTATACATTGTCATTGTTTATGTAAAGATACGTTTCGTGAGCAGAAATGACTGAGAAAAATCCTCGAAGATTCTGTGTTTATAAACAGTAATTCGAACTTTGCTTACCGGACGCTTCTTTGTAGTTGAATGGTACAGCCCATCAGGTCAAACGACGGTTTCTATATAGAAATACATGTTCGACGCCAGTCGGCAGAGGCATATTTTCTACGAAATTTCTCGAACATTCAGACCGGTAAATGTAATTGACACTGTTTAATTAAAAACAGAGCATTTACTTAAATAAATTATATCTATAAAAACTTTTTTTCTAATATTTCAAAAACCGTCCAATCAATTCACACAAAATTTTCACACAATATTGGCAACACTGATCTGCGCAATCACTGAAATTTTCGTACTGATCTGCGCTATGTAAACAAACTGGCGCTATATTTGTTATCAGCACGGTGATTTGAGCGTGCCAAATTATTAGGAAGGTTTAGTAAAATTCCCAGAATTGAGCAAACAAAACGTTTATTAATGTTGCACGTGAATGTTTATGAATAAAGCTAATAAATAAGATAATTAAACAAATAATAACAGATACAAACAAAGGTACAGTTTCAGTGATTGAGCAGGTCAGTGTTGCCAACATTGTGTGAAAATTTTGTGTGAATTGATTGGACGGTTTTTGAAATATTAGAAAAAGTTATCTTGATAATAATTTACACGTATATATATATATATATATATATATATATATATATATATATATATATATATCTATATATACAATAAATATAAGTAGGGATAATTCCAAGAATTATATAAATCCAAAGAGAGCTCAATTTAAATTTAGAGCAATTATATATATATATATATATATATATATATATATATATATATATATATATATATATATATATATATATGTGTGTGTGTGTGTGTGTGTGTGTGTGTTTATGTGTGTATATATATATATATATCATATCTCTCTCTCTCTCTCTCTCCTCTCTCTCTATATATATATATAAATATATGTATGTATATTCTTTCAGTGCTGCAATTATGAATTTAGCTAATGTAATATCCTTCTATTCATGAAAATATATTGTGGTTATTTTTGATGAATAATTCTTTTCTCTATTATTCGAATGGTGTGTTTCTCCTACAATTTACAACACGTTTATGCAGCACATTTATTATAAGCTTCATTTCAATGAATAACTATCATATATCTTCTGTTCAAGTTTTGATTAAATGTATATTGTAACGGAGATTGCCTGTTATGTTTTATTTTCAGCCGTACGACAATATTTTGCATGATTGTAACGTTATAAGCGTTTTTGTATTGGGGACTATTCATTTTCGGAAATCCGAGGTGAATAACTCAGGGTTAATTATACTTTTCTTTTACTCATATTCTCTTACATTCAGTAACTCCGTGCGTCTTAGTGGCTTTTTAACTTGTTTAAGGTAAATGATTAAAACTGAGTCCGCTTTTCTACGTTTGTAAATATTTTTGTTCTATTAGTACCTAAATCAGATTCTAATAAGTTCTTTTCACTAATCCTATTCACCTTCAAATTCCTGCCTCACACTTTGCAGCGTCTCCCCACATAGTTGGATTTTGAAACTTTTTTTTTAATATTCGCATTAGATTTGTGTAATGGAGAGTAACTCAAAATAAGATATCGTACAACCAAATTCGAATTACAGTCTACTTTTTTTACACTCAAACAATGTTTGTGAAAGTTATGAATACATCACCTTCATGTTATATAATAGAGCAGACAGGTCTCTTCAACCTTGGTTGGTAACTAGTATAGAAAAAGAACAACTCTAAATTCCAAAAAATAAAACATATGTACCCCTGGCATAGTACGTACATATGTAGCTAACGAAAGAAACGTGTAGTTTACAATGATACTATGATTCCCACTGCGGTCGTTTAATTAATTTTGACATCCCTGATGTGTAACTCACATCTTCGACTGTCCCATTTGCTTACCACTATGCGTTCATTCTTTTTATAAATAATGCCTAGGCTTATCTCTTTAATTTCACTGACTACATTATCTAATAGTTTTTTTTTCCGTTTACCTTCTGAATCTGCCGTATATCACAATTAACATTTATGTATTTTCTTCGCATGCAGATCTCGACCTATTTTAACGTAACCTGCGTTAAGATCTAATAAACAGACATATTTATTAATGTCTTACAACTGTTCATGCATAGAAAAAAAACAAAAAACAAGACTATTTAAGCTAAAATAATTACATTTCATATTGGCTGACCCTTTGTTAATTCCTTTTACACATTTTCTGTATCAGATTCTTTGTTGAATCTTGTGATATTGAAATTGAATTATGAAATAGTTATTCTTAATCGAAATAAAAAAAAAAAAAATTAGTTTCATGCTTTATTGTTTGAGTTGGAAGAACATGAAACCAAAGCTAAATGTTGTTTTCTGGTTCGTCTCGTGTCTTGCTTTCGATTTTTTTCCCATTCAATCAGGTTTTCCTTTTCTAAACATCTACATTAGATTTTTTTGCTTTTTATTTTGTTTTAATTCAGTTTTTTTTCCTACAAAATGTGTGCCCTTTGTCTTTGCAACGTTTAATTTCTTCTTTCTTTCTTTCTTTTTAACTATTTTCACTTGCACACTTATTATCATTCCTTCTTTTTCTTTCTTTCTTTCTGCTTCTGTCTTCTATGCATTATTCTTTTTTTTCTTTCTTTCTTTCACCCCTCTAGCATTCATTTGTCTTTCTTTCTTTCTTTCTTTCTTTCTTTCTTTCTTTCTTTCTTTCTTTCTTTTCTTTCTTTCTGTCTGTCTGTCTGTCTGTTTTTATTATTCTTTCTTTCATTCAATATTTCATTCTGTCTTACTTTTCCCCCCTGACTCTCATTCATTCAGTTTGACTTTCATTCATCAATTCATTCATTCTTTATTTATTTCTATTAGCCCCTGTCTTTCTTTCTTTCTTTCTTTCTTTCTTTCTTTCTTTCTTTCTTTCTTTCTTTCTTTCTTTCTTTCTTTCTTTCTTTCTTTCTTTCTTTCTTTCTTTCTTTCTTTCTTCATTTCTTTCTTTCTTTCTTTCTTTCTTTCTTTCTTTCTTTCTTTCATTTCTTTCTTTCTTTTTTCTTTCTTTCTTTCTTTCTTTCTTTCTTTATTTCTTTCTTTCTTTATTTCTTTCTTTGTTTCTTTCTTTGTTTCTTTCTTTCTTTCTTTGTTTCTTTGTTTCTTTGTTTCTTTCTTTCTTTCTTTATTTCTTTCTTTCTTTCTTTCTTTCAGTCATTTTATGTTTTCACGTTCTCTCTTTTTATAATCATTTCATTCTTTCTTTTATTTCTTTCTTTCCTTCTTTCTTTCTTTCATTCTTTCTTTCTGTCATTTTGCTTTCATTTCTTTACAATTCTTTCTTTCTACTTGTGTATCTTCTTTCTTTCTTTCTTTCTTTCTTTCTTTCTTTCTTTCTTTAGTTGAATATCCTAGTCTTTCTATATCTTTACTTATTTATTTGTTCCTCACTGACTTTCTTTTATTCTGTCTACCTTTCATTCACCCATTCAGTCCTCCTTTATTTCTTTCTGTCAGTCTCTCTGTCTTTCTTTATTTGTCTCTTTCTTTCTTTCTCTCTTTTCTTTTTACAAATTGCTTTTTTAAATTTTCATTCACTTTATTCTATTTTTGAATTCCTTTTCATTTTGTTTTCTTTTGTTTATTTTCCCCTTCCTCCACGTTTCCACATCTTTCATCCTCTTTCTTCCTTTCATTAAGTTTTTCTCTTTCTCTTTCACTTCGTTTATTTTCCATACTTTATTATCCATCTAGTTTTGTTTATTTTCACCACAGTTAATCCTAAATAAAATAAACCGTATCAAATGCAGATTCAGTTCGACTATTCAACGAACATGTAATTTAACAATTTAAAAACTGTCTCTTCAAGCCCAGTTACAAAAATCGAAAAGATTTAATGCCGTATTTTCTAACGCTCACAATCAACATTGACATAGAAGATGTATGTGGCTGCTCTTGGAGCAACTATTTTTTTTTAAGTTAAGGAAAGTTCGACCCAGTACAACTGTGACGTCATTGCAACGGCCAATATATTTGATCTCTTCAGATAAATAAAAGCAACTAAATCTCAAAACCTCAACATTACTAATCCATATTTTTTTTCGATCTCTTTGATTTTCTCGGTATA